ATAATGTGTGTGTGTGTGTGTGTGTGTGTGTGTGTGTGTGTGTGTGTGTGTGTGTGTGTGTGATCTAAATGTAAAAGTGTCAGGGGATTGAGTGGTGGGAGCTGTCTCCACCGGAGGGCAGTGTACGGATCCCAGTGGAGCGGAGAGATAATTGAAAAGTAGAAGAAGAAAGTGGACGAACCCAGAGCCAAGGTGCTTTAGTTGCTGTGCATTGTGGGTATGTGGGCTGATGTGTCACAGCTCGGGGTGGAGAGGAGTAGAAATCGTGATCTTCTGGGATGGGCGTCGGCTTTTAAACTTTTGGATAATTGGGGCCGAGAAGTAGAAGTGGACCTTCAGAGGGCAGTCCTTCGCTGAGGTGCTCGGTTGGTGAGTTCGGACTTGCTGTGTTGTTTGTGGGGAACCGGTCGGTGTTGGTGAAGTTCAGTGGACCTTGACAAAGCGGGGTCCTGTTGGTGCTTTTAACAAAAGGCCCCGCTCTGCTCGAGCTCTGCTGAGCGCTGAGTTGGATCTCGTTACTGGCTGTGAAAACTGGATTTAGGCAGTACTGGGTTGGACTGGTGCGGTTCTGGTCTCTAGTGGACTGAGGACTGTGGTCGGGCAGCGGGGTGAGGCCGGCTAGCCGGGTCCAGTTGGTCGTTGGGAACGGAGCGTCGGTTCTGGTCCGGTCGGTTGGTGGCCAGGTACTTCGCTCTCATACTGGAGGTGTACTGGAGAGACGAGGACAGTGAGGGAACAAAAGGAAGGAGGGGGGGGGAGGAGGAGAAGTGGGGGAGTTATGTTGGGGGAGAAGACAACCAGAGGGAGGAAGTGAAGTAGGAAAGAATTAAGAGTCAGGAGGGAAGATAACGAGAAGACGAGAAGAAAAGACGTGTTGATTATGATCACGCCTTATTTACACGGAAGAATAAAAGAAGCAATGTAGAAACAGTTTAATCATGTACATTAGATCAGGTAATGTCAATGGTTGTAAGTAACATACATAGATAGGTAGATCTATAATAGATAGATAGATATGTAGATAAATAGATATAGATAGATACGTAGATAGATAGATATGTAGATATGTAGATATATAGATAGATACGTAGATAGATGGGTAGATAGATAGATAGATACGTAGATACGTAGATATATAGATACAAACAAACACAAACACAGCAGAAATACTTTGACCAGTCATTTGGACAGCCGGGGGTTTGATTACAACAGTCACTGGTGACATAACAGCAGATTAAGGTCTGGATGGTGTTATTGTAAATTAGCAGATGTGGTCCATTTTTGTCAGTGGCTTGTAGTTAGTGCTCTAGTTCTGATGTAGTAGGTTGTTAGCCTGGTATGAGTTAGTGGTCTCGTTTGTGAGCAGCTGGCTGGTTACTGTTGGAGGTCCCTGGTTTCCTCACGGCTGCAGACACAGCGATGACAGCGGCCCGGTCCACACACCGGACTAACAATGATGAACCGGGGCCACATGGGGTGGCTGCTACAGTTCAGTACCATGGAGGTGGGGAACGTGTGCTCCTGCTACTGTTTAATGGTGAAGGGTGAGGGGGCACAGAAACAGAGGACACATACACCTCGACAGGAAAATGCACACATAGACACACTGTGGGAACAGGAGGGGGGGGGGGGGGAGCAGGAAATTTAGAGGGTTGGGCTCAAAAATGTTTCATCTTCACTGCAGGGTGCGGCCAGCTGTATCCTAAAAGGTGTTTAGAAGCACTAACGCTGCACCATCGGTGTGTGAATGGGTGAATTGAGAGGCAACATGTTAAAGCGATGTGTCCGGTAAGGTGGGATTTAGAAATGCGCTGTATAAATGCGGTCCATTTACCATTTTGTGGATTCAATTTTGTCAGTCCACGGTCTTGTCGCCCCATATGTATGAAGTTGATACTGCATGGAACAACACCCACAACTACAGTCCCAGCAGCACCTTGTCAGAGCCACAACTTTCAACCTGTTTAGTGGCAAATAGTTCAAACAAGAGGTGCAATTCAGACACCTGCAAGGATTGTGACTTGGTGTTGAAGAAAAGGGTTTTAAATGTAAATAAAACAACAGAAAAACATCTCAATGATGCCTCCGTTTGTCGTTACGTGGTCTACGAGTTCTCCTCACATGGCACTGACGGCCACAGTGACACCAACCAGACTTTGTACATCAGAAGTAGAGGACAACAATTGCACTTATCAGAAGAGACAAGCTTCTCTTTTGATGTGAAGTGCAAATCCTGCAAACAACAGACTTCTTTTTCAAACTTCCAGTTATCCCAGGCTGCCAAAATGACCTTTCCGAAAAGGCGATCCGTGATCACGGTCTAGTTTGAGCACAGAGGACACTTGCAGTGGTGTAGGGATAGGGCACTACCTTCCAATATCCACACTAGCATGCTATAAAAACAGTAGACATTAAGACACAAGTGCATTTATCAACACCATGCTTCCTTGGTTACAGTCTAGAATGATCAAGTCCCATCTCTGCGGGTTCTGCGGTTTAGAATATTTCCCAGCTGCACTGTGGGTATTGGAAGATAGTGGAGGGAGAGTGTGTTCTAGAAAGTGTGCACTTACAGAGGGTGGAGGGGACTCCCTGCCAATCAGGGGGGTGTTCTCACACCGAGGGTTCTGAAAGTTTGCGTTCTGGCTCCTGCATTATAGAATAAGAGGTTACTGCATGTGGTCACCCTGCCACTGGTGCTCAGCTGTTGATCTGTTGTCCATCTGTGGTCTGCTCATGATTACGACTTGAAGGGCAACTCCGGTATTTTTCAACCTGGACCCTGTTTCTCCATGTTTTTGTGTCTTAGTGACTAATGTGGATACACATTTTTTGAAGCTGTTCCAGTATTGAAGGAGAACGCTGCAGACGGCGGACACTAAACAGGCTGCGATGTAATTGCTCGGTCAATTTACAGCCACTAAAAGTGCTTGTTTTTTTTTCCACTGACAGACTCAGATTGTTACTTTTGTCTGACAACATTGTCGAAGAACCCTAGTGACTAAAAAAAAGGTTTTCTTTACCTTTTGCTTGATCCGGTCTGAGAAGTCTCGTTCTGAAATCTTAGCTGGCATCCACATTTACGAAATCAGCAAAATATTCAGCCATGCCATTGAAAATCCTTGAAACAACACTAAGCTATGCTTACACAACAACCTCTGCCTCAACTCTCATTCACGTTTCCACCGTTTACCTTTTGTTTGATCCGGTCCGTTAATCATTGTGACTTGTTGCCGGAAGACAACGGCGAAAACTTGAGTGAGAGTTGGAGGGAGATCAGTGTTGTCAGAGTGTGTCGTGTTGGAGTACAGAAAGTGTAGCTTCGTGTTAACTGAATATTTTGTTGATATTGATAATGTGACGCAAGATTTTAGAAAACATTTTTAGAACGAGACTTCCCTGAGCAAACACGCAGGCGAAAGGTAAAGAAGTCTCTGTCGGGTCCTTTCCGTAATGTTTCCAGACACTTATAATAACAATCTGAGCTCGTCAATGGCAAAAACAAGCCCTTTCAGTGGACGTACATTGATGGCGAGGAATTGCCCTGTGTGATTACATTACAGCCTGTTAGCGGCTGCAGCGTTCTTGTTCAATATATTGGACCAATTTCAAAAATTGTTGTCCACGTGTAACTTCGACACAAGAACGCGGGACAATAGGGTCACGGTTGAACGATAACAAAGTTCCCCTTTACTGACTGTCTGATAAATGGCCTCAGTAGTAATTATAAGTCGGGGACTTAAGCTCGCTGGCACCATATAGCCAGGGGTTAAACACCTCGGCCACAGTCCCACATAGCTGACATTCTTTCTTAACAATGCACAAAAGACAAACATTTAGTCTAACAATGGGACACTGGCTCAGTAAAATAGGACCTTTATCATTGGTCTGGTAAAAAGTATATATTGGTAAATAATAACTATTAAAGGACTAAAAAGGAGCCTCAAAGATAAATGTCCCTTGCGAGCAGTTTAGCAGCAAGCCAAACAAAGGCTATTTCCTTGATCTCTTGTATTTTATGTACAACAGCGCAACTGATCACTGATGTTAACAGTCTACACGTCTACACACCTAAGAGGTAAATATTATGGATGTCTGAAGGTTCAACTTACAGTAATAATGCAAAGAGATACATAGGTCGCTTGATATAAACAACACACATTAGTCATCGTTCAGTATTTAAAGCTCTGTTTCAGTTTGAAATAAAACGTAAGATCTTTGTACTTAAAGGACAAATAAGTGGTTTTCTATGTTTTGGTCCATTAACTATGAATATAGAGTTTAACTTACTGCCAAACCATTTTCCAAAGTATAGGTCTACTGAATGTTATTGAACTGGATTATGTGAATCTGTTCCTCTTGTTCTTGAATGTCAGATTCCACGAGCACGACAAGGGACGACATATCCTCACGCCTGTATAGTCACGCAAAGATAGCCTAACTTTCACTGTAAGGCCTTACCTATCTCAGGCAAGTGTCAAGGCTTCTGGCATGGACTCAAACTGACTACATGGAAGGGCATAAATCACTCTAAAACCCTACTAAATGCTTTGGAACATAAATCATCGGCTTATAGGATTTGTCGATGGACCAAAACATGAAAAACACGGTCCTTTAATGGTCAAAAACACTCACAAGGCCACATTGACTTTCGGAATACAGGTTTGGTCTATTTTCTTATTTCTTGCTGCAGAGTTACAGCGAACATCACATAGTACTTGATTAGCTCACAGCTAATATAGAAGCAAGCAGTGGCAGAATAGAGATGCATCTGCTAAGTTCTCTTGTTGTATTCAGAGCAAGCAGTCCTTTGGCAAACTGTAACACGTAGCAAGCAGGGTGAAAGCGTTATACTTATACTATGGAAGGTAGACTTGGACTGAAACAGGCAGGCTGGCTGATACAGCAGGCAGCAATTTTTCTATCGGTATCAAAAGGAAAGCTAGAGCGGGGTTTTAACTCACTGACAATGTGTCACAAGGGACATGCGAGCCGTACAGAGCACAAACTATCTATTCTATCTTATCGCATCGCAGGCAGTGGAGCGTTGCTATGCTGCTAGTCTGGGTCTCGGGGGTTGGGGGGTTGGGTGGGAGGGGGCAAGCATCAGCTACCTACGGCAGGCAGTGTATTGATCCTGCTAGCCTCTAGCTAGCGGTGGGTGCTAACTCACATGTATTCAGTGACGGGGGCATTGCTGACAGTGTGGGCTGTAGCGGGCAGGCTAGCTTCGCTACCGTAGCTGGAGCCACAGCTGTAGAGACTGGGCATGTGAACGCGGTACAGGTTATCGTGCACACCGCCCCGCGAGGCACCCGACTCGTCCTCTCCGTCTTCCTCATCCGTCCTTCAATTGGTCAGGGTTAGGGCAGGGCACGAGAGGGCATGATGGATAGGAGGGGGGGGGGAAGGGTAGAGGGGAGGGAGATCCGAGAGAGACAACAGAGTGTAAACAAGTGGTTGAAGAGGAGGTTAGGAGAGGGGAAGGTGTACTTGTACTATGTGGAGTCCCCTGACACACGAGACTGGGTGAGGCCATGCCTTCAGCACCAAAGCAGCTGAACAAGAAGAAAAGGAACATGGGCAGCATTCATCTACACAACAGCTCCACTACAAGTACAGTGGGGGCTCTAATGTTACTACACAGCCCAGAGCGAAGCTGTTTGTCATTGCTGTGTGTGGTTACATAACATGATAGTAGATTCCTCCACACTCTTTTAATACGTAGAAACATGCAGTCATTGTCTTCTCATGCAGTCGTCCTCTATTGACACAGAGGACTCGCTCCTGATAATTACTCTGCATTTCAAATTGTCCAAAATTGAATCAAATTGAAATAAATTTTCCTGAAAGTACTTCATGCATCGCTGAGTGCTCCATGGAACTTAAAGCAAAAACATCAGGGGGAGAAAGAACAAAAAAAAAGAAGAGATAACATGGCTGGTTTGGGAAAAACTATTTTCAGACATAAAATGGTCAAAAATGTAAAAACGGGCCAGCGACGTAACACAATGAAGCGTCAAATAAGATATGTGCTGATTTGGAAGTTGCATCTCTGGCTACAGAAATGTAATGGCTTCTACAATGTACGGCTCAACCACAAAATACATGTACGTGTGCATATGTAGACCCTATTATCAGGAATATCTGTACTATTCTTTGAGGTTGTTTTAGGGAAGTTTATAACAGCCGCCCACATATTGACGCGTACACATCAGGCCGGTAATGTTTCAAAGAAAAGAGGGCAGGAGCAGTATGAAGAACGTTAACGCAGGCATGAGGCACGACAGCAGTTACTGCATTGACTGGCCACTAGATGGAGGTGTTTCGCTCCAGCAACCAAAAAAAGAGCTAAGCACAGGCAGCGTGATGTGCAACCAACCCCAACAAACTCTGGGACATTATGGATTATTGCTTAAAACCAGCTGGGCCGGTAATTCACACCCAACAAACAAGCGTAAAACACCACAATTATGGCACAGCTGTGGTTCATTATTCAAATCGTTCACCTGAGTGTTGTCTAGAGCTCTTTGCGCTAATTTAACCAAATCATTATTTGTTTGTTTGGCTATTTGAAAAGGGGCCGTTTTATCGGACCGCGGGGGTTTGATTTCCTCGATAACCACCATCATTCGCTGAAGCCCAAAGCGTTTCCAAATCAGGACAGGGAGAGAGAAAGAAGGGACGGAACAGAAGGAGGAAGTGGGGCACAGAAAGAAAAAAAATGAAGGAAAAAAAAAACGTGGTGATACACACAATCTAACACAACACTGGTGCTCCAAGTCCACAGCGGAGAAAAAAGAAAATGAGAGATAAGTACAAACATAGAAACAAACATTCAGCCAGACTGGCAGTGCTGACGGGAGAAACAATCAAATAAACTTGCAGAGAAAACTGGATGGATGCAAAGACAGGCGTACGGGAGGAAGGAGGCCAAAACACTGACAGAGTGACACATGCATGGGCACCGAGTGGATTCCTCATGGGTCTTTCCACTGTTTTCAGGTCACAGGATGCATTTAGTTAAACAATTAGGAAGTTAGAACGAGTAACACGTTAGCTGTTAGTGAAAAGAAAAACCTTGTGCGAGTCTTGTGTGTGTGCTTGTGTGCGAGAGACTGTATATATGTGTGTGTGTGTGTGTGTGTGTCACCTCTTGCCAGGCCAGGTATGTGGCACGCTGCACACAATGGAGGAGAACATCAGAGCAGTGACGAAGGAGAAGAGAACCAGGTAGATGACGCCCTCCACCCCGTCATAACACAGCCCAGTCAACGCCTGGACGTAGTCCTGCACGGGGGAGGAGAGGCGTCAGTTGTGGAGAAAGTCTTGGATTTTGAGTTTTTCCTCTCTGGACGCACAAAGCGACTCACCATGTGTAGGCTGCGACAGTCGACCAGAGCGGTCAGCTGGTGAAGACCGACCTCGGTGGAATTCAGCACGGACTGGATTTGCTCGAGACTCCCCTGCACACAAGAAGCAACGGTTAAACACGCGCGCTCAAATGTAGACTGTCCGCCTTCATGTCCATCCTCACACACCATCTATGAACACGTGGCGCTTTCTGTAACCGCCACTACCGTCAGGCTCCCGCTAGCGCAAATCCACTCATCCGTGAAAATAAAAGAGCTACACATCATTGCGCACACACGAGCGCACCCACACACACACCTTGGTGTTGGCATAATCACGTGTCGCTGATCTCAGTAGCTCTGCCACATCATCCTGCATCTCCACCAATGCTTTGTGACTCCCTGACAGCCTCTGCAAAACACAAGAGAGAGAGACAAGAGACACAAGGACAAAAAACACGCACAAATACATCTCTGGGTTATTTGATTGCTTTACAGGTTTAAATAGGCATAATAAGCAGCATGTAAAGTATCATACAGAATTAACCCCTCTCAATCATCACTTATGACCCACTGAGTTTCTGCCCTCTGCCTGTATTTGCACTTTTTTTTCCTTCTGATATTTTGCTGTGTCGTCAAATATTGTGGCTTTGTCAGGCCCCCGGCGTATGATCCGGAGGGAGAAGGCGCCCTTAGCGGAGGTATTTGACGACCAACGTTTTGTGTCCTCGTCGAATGTTTTCGTGTGCTTCACTCTCTAACTCGCTCAACCATCTCTGAAGTTACCTGCTGGAAGGGGTTGATTTGGCCAGGGCTGCACCTCAAGTAATACTGCAGGATATCTGTGAATGAACACATACATACATGTTATTAGAATAAATATACAGTTATATGAACGAAAGGCAAACACTGTTAATATTATTCAGACTTTCTACGCCCAGAATCTCTCTATGGAGGCTCGTTAGCAGTACTACTCAGGCATAATTCTGTGTGTGTGTGTGTGTGTGTGTGTGTGTCACAGAGGCAACATCTGTGCTCTACAGAGCGGAAACAACTGACAGACAACAGAACTCATTAGACGAGTGCAAAGAGCGAAGAGAGGGAGGGAGAGGAAGAGATCGAGAGGTAGAGAGGGATAGAAGACGATGAAGAGAGAGAACAAATCAGATAATGAGCCGAAGTGAAAAAGCAGAAATGGGCTCTGGAGATTTTTTTATTTAATTATTTTAACGTTGGGGAGAGGCAGGAAGAAGAGTGGGGGGGGGGGGGGGGGGGGTGCAGGATTGCTGATGCATTGCAGTCAGCAGAGAGAGTGTCAGTCAAACTGGATACACACACACAAACGCACACACTTGTGTCTTAAAATAGAAGCAACATGTCAGGATGAAAACTGAAGTCTATTCAAGACGTTTCCGCTTATTTGTCAAACCCACAGTGTCTGTTGACCACTCAGCTCTTGATTCTTCCTTCATGATCAACACTACTGACCACACATTATACAAGCTGTTGCCGAAGTCATCCCCGGTGGAGCAGTTGTAGAAAAGGGAATGATACACAGAATCTCTGATATTTTCCTTATGTAACACAGGATTGTTTCATATTGTCAGGCCTCTAAAAATAAAACAATAAGAGGAGGAAGAAATAGTCTTCAGGTGACATCAAAGGGACATATATTTAAGCCTGTGACAGTTTTGCTTTTTATGATTCACGAGCCTAAAAGTTTTGGAAACGCTGTCTTAAAAAAACGGCTGGTACCATTTCCCTGGTTGTGTGTTTCCTTGTCTCCTTACCTTGGTCGATGACAGCGTTTTCCTTGGTTACCCTGGTGACGAAGGTATCCGGGGAAACGCAGAAGTCACTGGCGGACTGTAAAGAGGGTAAAGCACACACACACACACACACACACACACACACATGACGCATCAGCCTACAGCAGCATCCACGCTGAACACACAAGCAGTGAGGGGGGGGATTACATCACTGCGGAGCCTGAGAGCTCAGCGATGTTGCCATGGTTACACTTACAGCAGCGACAGCCAGCTCCAGGCCGAGAGACCCCCAGCTGATGATCAGAGTCAGCACACCGAGCAGACACACGCTGAAGGACACAAAGACGCATGTTTTTAAAGTCAAGATTCAGCAACAACAGCAGATTCTAGACGGGATTTGGCTCGTCCAATGGGAGCACCTTGTGTCGTAGCTTACCCAATCAGAGTGCCTCTAGAGTTGCGTATCAGGCCGAAGAGCACCAGAAGACAGATGAGTACATCGAACAGCAGCAGGCTGAGGTACCCCAGCCACCTGTGAACACAAATACAAATAGATGACACAACACACAGAAGCAACACGAGCCACAAAGTAGAGGGTGAGCTGATTTATCCGTTAACATACACCAGTTCACCTGTCCCTCCTCTCCAGACACATTTCTAGTTCCCCAAATCAAACCACTTTCCATCCGTCCCATCAGATGCCCTCACACTTCCCCTCCTTTCCCCATCAGCTGACAGCCACACCCACCTACACACCTGTTCCCACGTTACCTAATCAGCTCTGCAGCCATTTTCCCACACAGTCCTTGCCAGCTTGTTGTTTTCGTGTTATGTGCTTTTGGCTTTCAAGCCCTCTGTTACCTGAACCTGAACCTGGACGTTAACATGGACTTGTATCAGCCTGACCCTCTGCATGCAGTTGAATATATTTATTTTAACTGAGTTAAATGACCCAGAAGAAGTATCAAAGTGGCAGCCATGATTTTTTGGACTACTGGGATTTCTGATTCTCTGCCGTACACTTGTTGGATTTGCATTCCTGGTTTGAACCTCTGCCTTTGGACTTTGGATTCTCTTGTCTGCCCCTCGTCGGATTTGTTTGCATGTGCATGATTCATGCTCATGATTCTGTCAGCTCAGCACATTTCTGTTCATCCCTTGTTACTTTGCTTACTCCAGCCGTGACGTCACTGGTAAATTTTTGCTTTGGAACTTGGTTAACACCTTTGTGTTCAGGCCAGAGTGGTTGATTTGAATGGTTTTATCTTTGAAATGAACATTTGTAATGTACACTTTGTAAAATTCCCTCTGAACAGATCGGTTTCCAGTTCAATCCAGCGAATTCCTTCATGCGTTACAAAACACACATCGTTACTCGTTCGTACTGACCTGTAAAAATCAAAAGCCTCCGTCTTGTGGGCCAAGTCCTCCAGGGAAATGTCAGTGTTGGACCAGAAGGGAATGTCCACCATCAGCCTCACCAGCTCGTCCAGCTGTCCCTGCAGCTTTTGGATGATGGACACGTAGTCCGTCTGCTCCTGGAAGGCTATCTCCAGCTGGACCAAGTTCTCCTCCACTGTCTGGTTTAAGGCGAGGGCGCTGTCTGACACCTGGACATTCACGGGACAGAGAAGTTAACCTCGAAACTGCCACGAATCACATGTTTCATTCTTTTATGCGTGAGGATCCAGCAGGTAGCTCACCAGTTTCTCCACCCCGGACACGGTGCGGTTGGCGTGGCGGAGGGAGTACGCCAAGCGGCTGGCCCCATCGCTCGACTCGCCGTTTCCGTAGAACCCCACAGCGATGCCGGCGCTGGGAGGCAGAAAACAGGAAGCGTTAACACGGCGACTAATCAAACCACCGGATGGCATCAAATCAACTAATATGGATATGTATGACACATTTCTCACAGTCATACAGGCGCTCACACACTGAACGAGACTGAAGCGAAGACGGTGAAGTTATTAAGTGCAGTTCCTCTGTTAACCAGCAACAGGCGACGCTGAGCTCGCTGTTCTTTGCATTGGTGTCACCCTCCGGCCTCCGGCAGGCACAGGACTACCAGGAATGATTCTCACACACACACACACACACACACACAGAGAGAGTCTACACAACAATTGGGTCACCAGACCGCACATAATATGATCCTTCTGCAGCCCTTCATCCACACGTGACACATGCTACAAGCTACAATATCTGAGGTTCAACAGCCCCAACAGCCTTTCTTCAAAACCCTCGTACTCCTGAAGCATGTGTCACGTGTGGATGAAGGGCTGCAGAAGGATCATA